CCCTCCTTTTAGGAACTAACAAACGAAACAGAAGCACACTGTAAATCTTGCATTACATCCCTTTTGCTTTCTCTCAATGCATGCATATCTCTCTCTTTATTATTGATTCACTCGTTTCAACCACCAACGGCTCAATGTACACACTCCTCTTCCCTTCTAATTCGAACGCATGGCATTAGTTGTGTACACACATCTAGAGAGACAAACAAGAAAATGATGATGGGAAATTGAAGAGTGTGTAATTAATTAAAGGCATGAAGAAGAAGGGGTTGATTGTGGGAGCAGGAGTATCGTGGTTTGCGTGGAAGCTGTTGATTGTGGTTTCCCTCACTCTCACCATTGTTCTCTGCATGTTGGCTTTTCTCAGGCTCCAGCGATTCCTTCCTTCACACTCCCAAAATCCTTCTTCTTCAGTTTCTCGTAGATTTCTCCATCCCAATTGGGATTCCATTAGTTTTCGAGGCGATCCCAAAGTTGCTTTTCTCTTTCTAGCCCGCCGTAATTTGCCTCTCGATTTTCTTTGGAAATCTTTCTTCGAGGTGACGTGATTTAATTTCTTTTTTTTATTATTGAAAATTCATCAAGTTGTAACGTGTCCTACATTAGTTGAAGAAATGAATGTTGTCAGCTTACACAAATTCTCATCTCATGAGCTAATTTTTGAGATTAAGTTGGGCCTGAGATACAATCGTCAATTATAAATGTTGGACCGCTGGATATGTTTGTGTTCCGAATTCTAATGTCCATCTTACTTTGGAGGTTTAAGGGGAGTATATATTGCTTCATCTAAGTTCTTAGAGTTTCAGTTTTTATGTCATTTTCCTTTTTCTTCACTGCAGATATGCTCTTTTAAAGAATTAGCAAAAATTGATAATTTAAAAAATAGAGGCTTTTCAGCTTCAGATTAGTCTCTATTGTCTATTTGCTTTGCAGTAATAATGGAAATGTGAAGAACTATCAAGTTTTAAGGAAGTTTTATAATACTTGAGAGTATTATGGAGCATTTCTAAATCTATTTAAACTCCTCTCTTACACTTTGATCATTGTTTGATGTTAGCAGAATGCTGACGCTGATAAATTTTCAATATATATACATTCGGAGCCTGGTTTTGTGTTTAACGAGTCTACCACAAGGCCATCTTTCTTTCATGATCGCCAATTGAATAATAGCATCAAGGTAAATAATGTTCTTACTAGTTTGCTGTCACTTTTGAAAGTGAAAGCAGATTTTATCCCTTTCTTATTTGCAACCCAAATTATCTTTAATTTTCTTGAATGAAACAATATGAGTTTTTAATCTATTTGTGTTCCCTTCTTTCACTTCCTTTTGATCTCCCTATTAATTACTTATGACTCTCGAAGATTATCAACCGCTCTACCTAGATATACCTGAATAGTTTAGCTAGGTTACCTTTAAATTGTCAGTGTTTATAACTTAAATCTTTTCCAATGATTTAAGATCCATTAGTCAAGTTCTTTAAGTTATAGTATTCTTTCCCCGACTCATGAGGGACTATTTATGTTTAATGGTTTTAGATTTTCTGCTGATACTTGAGATGTATGTTGCTTACTTCCTTTCTCCTTTTGAATTGCTTTCATTTTGGTATCTTAGCCCGATTGATATTAATTGTGACTTGTAGGTAGCTTGGGGAGAAGCAAGTATGATTGAAGCAGAGAGATTGTTACTTGAAGAAGCTCTTAAGGATCCAGCCAATAGAAGATTTGTTCTATTGTCAGAGAGGTTCAACTTCTAACTCTCAGAAACGTTGCTCTCTTAATTATTTTTGAACTACTTCCCCTTTTCCATCTACCCAATTTACTTAGCCCCTTATCAAAAATGGAAACGTTTACTACAAATATCTCTTCCGATTATGCCGGTAGACATTTCTTGAACAGCCTACCTAACATTCATTCATTTTTCACTATTACATACTTTAGGTATATCTGTAACTAAGTAGTTTTGATTGCTCATCTCGAACTGTTTACCTATTGAAAGTTTTATTATTTCCTTAGTTTCCACCTTGATTAAATAGGATCATATAAATCCGAATGGATCCATAAGGTTTTGGGTTCCTATTCAAAAGGAATGGTATATGTGTTGAAATGTCAAAAATTTCGGTGGGTTTGCAAAAGTGGATAGGATTTTTCCCTATAAAAGGAGGCCTAATGTTTAGGATTTAAACACACCTGTCATTTGCCTTCTCATCTGTTTAAGGCATTTGTATCTTCTCTCTTTAGTATTATTTCACTTGTATTTTTGGAGTGGAATAAAATATTGGTTGTGTCCGAGGAGTAGGCAAAATTAGCCGAACCTCGTAAATTCTGGTGTTCTCTTTATTGTTGCTTTATTGTCTTATTTATTATTTGGTGGCTGTCATAATTTTTGGTATAGTAGTTGTGACTTATTCACACTATATACATTTGGCTTCCGCAACAATTGGTATCAGAGCCAAGGTACTGTCTAAGTATGCTCTGTGGTTGCAGCATAGTCTGATCTTCCACATCAGAAAAGATTTATCTTGGTAACTGAGTCAAGGTTCTGTCTGAGTATGCTCTGT